CTCAAGCGAGTCTCCTGCCTCAGCCTCCCAAGTAGCTGGGACTACAGGCGCCTGCCACAACGCCTGGCCATTTTTTTCTTTTTTTAGTTGCAGCCATCATTGTTGTTTGGCGGGCCCGGGCTGGGGATTCGAACCCGCCACCTTAGGTGTATGTGGCTGCCGCCTTAGCCGCTAGAGCCACAGGCGCCGAGCCCTGATGCTTGTTTTCAATGAAGACATTAGATCAGTGGGTCAGATAAGAGTGTTCAGAAGTCAGTCATTTGATTGGCAGCACAGATGCCAAGGTAATTCAGTGGGACAAGGATAGAATTTTTAAGAAATGTTCTGAAATAACCAAATGGGAAGAAAAAAACCTTCAACCCTTACCTCACGGCATACACAAAAAATTGAAATTGACTGTAGACCTAAATGTAAAAGCTAAAACTACAAAACTTTTATTTATATATTTATTTAGCCTCAGCCTTGGAAGTAGCTGGGCCTACAGATGTGTGCAACTATGCCTGGCTAATTAAAAAAATTATTTTTGTGGACATGGGTTCTTGTACTGTTGCCTAGGCTGGTCGTGAACTTCTGTCTTAAGTGATCCTCTCACCTCTGCCTCCCAAAGTGCTGCAATTACAGATAGAAGTCACCATGCCTGGCCTATAAAACTTTTAGATGAGAACATGAGAGAATAACTTTAGACCTTTAAGAATACAAAGATTTCTTATTTAGGATGTAAGAAAACATAGGTCATAATGGCAAATTGATAAATTTTGCATCAAAATTTAAAGCTTTCTAATGCCCTGACTGAAGACCAGCAGTTATGCTATATAGCTGTTGGTTTTGAACAGGCCTAAATGACTATCTTCCTGCAGTGTCTTGGCTATTCTGGAATCTCAGCAGAGAATGGCTGTTTCATTTGGAAGAAACAACCCACAACTCTCCCTCTCACTGGAAGGGCCCAGGAATGCTACATATAATCACTTCTGACTGTCAGAGTGGGGCAGCTAAGTACACGGAACACACTTGCCCAGAATTGTTTTATTTATTTTTTATTTTTATTTTTATTTATTTATTTTTTGAGACAGAGCCTCAAGCTATCCCCCTGGGTAGAGTGTCGTGGCATCCCAGCTCACAGCAACCTCCAACTCCTGAGCTCAAGCAAGTCTCCTGCCTCAGCCTCCCAAGTAGCTGGGACCACAGGCGCCCGCCACAACGCCTGGCTATTCTTTGCTTGCAGCCATCATTGTTGTTTGGCAGGTCCAGGCTGGATTCAAACCCGCCACCTAAGGTGTATGTGGCTGGCGCCTTAGCCACTTAAACCACAGGCACCGAGCCAAATTATTTTATTTTTATGGTCTTGTTCTTGTTGCTCCTATAAATGGGCATTGATAAGTCATATTCATGCTTAAGACCACAATAAATGAAAATCTGACCAAAATGCAAAATAAAAAACAAAAAAAAATTTTGAACTTTCTGCAAGACCGTAAGCAAATGTGAAGGCGAGTTGCGGTCTGGGGAAGAGTGTATTTTACAGGACATTCATCTGACAAAAGAATGCACTGTATCTCATTAGGAGGACGCCAGCCCAGTAAGTAACGGTTAAAAGATTCCAAAAGACCCTTCCCAAGAGACTCTACACAAATGGCTAATAAGCACATGAAAACATACTCAATGTCATTAGTTCAGGGAAATGAAAATTGAGTGCACAGTGAGCTCCCCCTCCACACCCTTCAGAAGGGCCAGAATTCAAAAAACTCATGATACCAAGCATGGTAAGGATGTGGAGAAGATGGACTCCTCCCACGTATCTGCTGAGAATATGAAAAGAATGGTTAGAAGTTGGCCAGATCAAACAGGGCTGGGGGAAAGTGGAGAGAATCGTGCATGAGAAAAAGCACAGACAAGTAGCCTGGTCTGTGGGATAGTAAGGAAGGAGTTTGGTGTACTTCAGCAGTATGTAGAGGTGGCAGAAGGGTTTTGAGTCCTTGTGTGTGCACTTCTGGCTGCTTGGGAGGGAACTCTGGAGATGAGGAAGCCAGTGACAAAGTTGTTGCTGGTGCTGGATTGAGATGCCAGACACATTGAGATCTCTTTAGAGACAGGGCATGAATGGCCAGTACAGCTGCATTTTAGTTTAGAGCATGTTTTTATTTTATTTATTTATTTGAGACAGAGTAGAGTGCTGTGGCATCATAGCTCACAACAACCTCAAACTCCCAGGCTCAAGTGAACTTCTTGCCTCAGCTTCCTGAATAGCTGGGACAACAGGCACCCACCACAATGCCTGGCTAATTTTTTCTGGTTTTAGTAGGGAAGAGGGTCTTGCTATTGCTCAGGCTGGTCTCAAACTCCTGAGCTCAAGCAGTCCACCTGCTTTAGCCTCCCAGAGTGCTAGGATTGCAGGTGTGAGCCACCATGCCCAGCCTGGAGCAAGGTTTTTATAGTTAGTGAATTGGTATGTGATATTTTAACCAGTGGTTACCAAGGGTCAGTGATAGAGGGTCAGGGAGAGAAGGTGGGAGTGGCTGTGAAAGGCCACTGAGGGGTCCTGGTGGTGATGGGCGTATTCTCTGCCATGACTGTCAGTGTCAGTGACCTGGCTATGGTCATCTCCTACTGATCACAGGGTGTCACCATTGGGCAAGCTGGGTAAAGAGTCCACAGCATTTCTCAGTATTACTGCTTACAACTGCTTATGAATCTACAATTACCTCATAATAATAAATTTAAATTTTTAGATAGCATAATGATCACATTTTATGTCTGCAGAGAGAGAATGTGTGTGCACACACACGTGTATGTTGCAGCCTTATTATAGCAGTACAGAAGGAATTAATGCAAATTTATAACTAAATATTTACTCAGTGTAATATTTACTTTGTGAATCCCAACACTAGATTTAACCTAACTTTGATACTGTTTTATCTTTTGATTTCAGAGACATTCCATAAGTGGACCAATCTCAACATCTAAACCCCTGACATCCCTGTCAGATAAGCGACCAAACTATGGGGAGATCCCTGTTCAAGGTACATATATCATGTCACAGCATTTCACATATTTTGTCAACTTGTGAAGCTTTCTGGCTTCTTTGGCAAACTAAGTTGTTTTCTTTGCTTTTTGTATTATTTCAGTGAATCTGGTATACCTTTGTTTTGGAAGCTTAACTAATAATATGTCTAAGTTGCAAAGGGAGAAATTAATTATTAAGTGCATCTTTCGCTACAACTCTTATGAGACTGTTTTCACAGTCCCTGCTAGCATGGGTGTTATTGTCATCCCCACTTTACAGTCACAAAAATGATGCTTCAAGGACTTGAATGACTCAGGTTAACATACTTATCAGACAGGGGCCCTGACAGCCAACTCCACACCCCTTCCTTGGATCTCTGTGCTGTATGTTGTCATAGAGGGAGCTGAGACTCCAAAAGGCAAGGTCCAGCAACCCCTCAGGGCCCATGGGAAGGACTTACTGGTCTTCACACAGCTCTGTGATAGAGCCAGCACCATAGCCTGTCTCCTGCCTTCAAGATCTGGTCAGAGCAGGGCAAAGTTTGCCAGGGAAGACTAGCACCAGCAGTGTTTCTCAAACTTAGCCAAGTTGCTTGTTAAAGTATGGAATCCTGGGCTGCACCTTAGAAGTACTGACATGGACTGTCTAGGAAAGGGAGTTTGGAAATTCCACTTTCATAAGCACCCCAAGTGACTCTTAGGAAGGGGCAAATTTGGGCAATTGGGCAAAGGTTACCTCTTAATCATTTCTATTACCTTGGCTTTGTGTAGGGAAGGTCTGTGGGCCAGGATTATAGAAGGCTGAATGCATTGAGATTCCATTCTTGGCACGCTCATTTTATCATCTGGTGCTGTATCTAATTTGCAGGGTATGTGGTGTGTGCTCCCAGTCTTGTCAGTTCTGGGCTCATGCTCTGCTTCAGTCCGTGGTTAGGACTGAATTGGACCTGACTGAAACACTGCAGTTGTAAGAGAGAGAGAAAAACACACTGAGGGAATTTTTATCTGGGGAGTTGTTGATACTGTGTTCTTTTAACTTAAACAGACATTAGAGAAAGGAACCACTTACCAAATTAAAAGAAGTAAATAATTTGTGGCTATAGAAAGCCACCATGATAAGAAAGGCGGAGGCTTCCCAAACTGTGTTGAGCTGCTTTTCCTTCTTGTCTCTTTTACCTTGATATAAATCAGAAAGTCTATAGCTTTTGTTTTAAAAGTTTTCAGTGGCTTCATTGCTAAATTTTTAAAAGGTGCTGCCTCTTGTTTTGCTTATACTTAAATAAGAGAGTTTGTTGGGTCCTTTTTTCCAGTTAAGTATTCCATAAAAGGTGTGGGTTTTGGTCTATTACATTTTGCATCACACTTTGGTGTCAGTTGCAGGAAAGTGCTCCAGACCTGAGCAACCTTACCATCAGTGGGCTGATGGAGCACTGTGTTGTTGGCGCTGTTGGCAGCTGGATTAAATGACTAGGATCGTGACTGGTGCAGCTTAGTGAGTCTCTGTAGACAGTGTGTGAATTAGCATTGCATCCTAAGCAGAAGAGCATAGACCTGCTACCAGGTGTATGGACACAGTAGTTGGAAAGGTCTTTACAATCCCCACTTGCACAGTGACCTCCTGAGTCCAGAATGTTTTGCACACACCGCAGCTGGCTGGCAGTTGAGGAGTGAGGATTGTCCAGGAGTCAGTGTTTCTGTTATCAGGTCTTTAAGCTCAGACACGCCCATATCTCAGAGAGCTGGTTAGTTCAAGTACAGTCAGATTCTGTAAGTATTATCTGTCTAAATTACATTATTTGAGGCTTGAGATATAAAATTACTTTTTAAAGTTTGATATTTAAAAAATATTGCTTATGTTACCGTAAGTGTGAGACAAAGTTAGGACATCAAACCTGGGTTACAAATTACCATCTCGTCATTTTTAAGTTTAAAAGAAAAAGTTTTCTGTTTAGTGTTAAAAATTTCACAGAAATTTTTTTTCCCTCCAAAGTTTAGATATAACTAGATTCTGCCTCAGCTTTAGAGCTGGCCCTACCCATGAAGTTCCCAGGATAAACTGAGAGAAATCCTACCCTGCTGTGCTTTACAGCTGTGGTCCCCAGCACCCAACCAGTGGACCAGTGCTGGTCTGTTGGTCCATGGCCTCTTAGGAACTGGCCGCACGGCAGGAGATGAGCGGCAGGTGAGTCAGCGAGGCTTCATCTGTTTACAACTGCTTCCCATCGCTCACATCACTGCCTGAGCTGTCTCCTGTTAGAGAAGCAGCAGCATTGGATTCTTAGAGGAGCGCAAGCCCTACTATAAATTGCATATGCAGGGGCTGTAGGCTGCGTGCTCCTGATGAGGACCCTGGTGATCTGACGTGAAGCTGTAATGTGCTTGAATCATTCTGAAATCATCTCCCTGTCCCCAATCCATGGAAAAACTGTCTTCCACAAAACCGGTCCCTGGCATCAAAAAGCTTGGGGACTGCTGCTTTGAGGTCGTATGGGTATCTATTGGCTTCTAAGGTTTTTTTTTAAAAACCTCTTTTTCCTTCTATTCCCCTGTGGTTCTTGGTATTTGTCTTGATAAAAAACAGTATATCTAGGCTTCTGTTTTTTCCAATATATTATGATGAAAATGTTAAAACATACATAGAAGTTGAAAAATTGTGCAGTGAATAGCCAGATACCTAAATTCCTCAGCATTTTGCTATATTTGCTTTTCACAAAGCAAGTTGTAATTAGTATGCTTCTGTGTGCTTATCAGTATTTGTTAAAATTGTTCTCTCTGTCTCTCAACTTTTTTTTTTTAAAGAGATAGAGTATCACTTTATTGCTCAGTAGAGTGCTGTAGCATCATAGCTCACAGCAACCTCCAACTCCTGGGCTTAGGCAATTCTCTTGCCTCAGGCTCCCAAGTAGCTGGGACTACAGG